GCTGATGGTGTTGATGTTGATGCTGATGATGATGTTGCTGACGACGACGATGATGATGTTGATGCTGCTTACGATGATGCTGCTGATGATCATGATGCTGGTGGGGCTGATGCTGATGTCGATGATCGTTTTGATGGGAAGGGATGTGATGATGATGTGGATGATCATGCTGAGGGTGGTGATGATGCTGATGATGATGACGACGGTGGTGATGATGATGCTGATGATTATGATGATGAGAAGGAGTGTGATGATGAGGTTGCTGCTGCTGATGCTGATGATTGCGCTGATGAGTCTGAGTTGGACGAGGAGGATGGAGGCGGATGAGGATCAGTAAGGCGGAGACGGGTATGATTATGATGAGGATGATGATCAGGATTACGATGAGGATGATGAGGATCAGGATGAGGATGATGAGGATTATGATGGTGATGATGAGACTGATGCTGCTGACGATGGTGATGGTGATGGTGTTTATGCTGCTTCTGCTGCTGCTGATCATGATGATGCAGTGGATGATGATCAGTATGATGATGCTGATGGTGATGGCATGATGATGACGATGCTGATGATGATGGGAATTCTGATGATAATGATGATGATGCTTGCATGATTGATTGCTTGCTTGATTGATGAGGATGAGGATGAGACTGAGGATGCTGATGATTATGGACGACGGCCACGATGACGACGATGATGATGGTGATGATATGATGACGCTGATGATGAGGATGATGATGTTGATGATGATGGTGTTGGTGGTGATGATGATGACGCTGACGATGATGATGATGATGATGATGACGATGATGATGATGACGATGACCATGATGATGATAGTGATGCTGATGATGCTGATGATGCTGGTGCTGGTGCTGGTGCTGATGCTGGTGATGAGGATGATGATGATGATGATGGTGCTGTTGTGATGCTGCTGTTTGCTGTGAATGGTGTTGGTGATGGTGACGGCGATGACGATGATGGTGATGCTGATGATAATGATGGTGATGGTGATGGTGATGGTGATGGTGACATCGATGGTGGTGATGATGATAGTGATGATGTTGATGATGCTGATGCTTATGATGATGATGATGATGATGATGATGATGATGATGATGAGGATGAGGATGAGGATGAGGATGAGGATGAGGATGTGGATGTGGATGTGGATGTGGATGTGGATGTGGATGTGGATGTTGATGAGGATATTGCTGCTGATGATCATGATCACGATTAGGATGAGGAGGCGGGAGGAGGAGGAGGCGGAGGCTGAGGCTTAGGATGATGAGGATGATGAGGATGATGCGGAGGAGGATGATGCCCAGGAGGAGGAGGGAGGAGGGAGGACGAGGAGGAGGAGCGAGGTGCGACCACATTGCACATCAGTGCGACATTAGCAAACATACGCAGCACACTGACCACATGACCACCCTATGGTGTCAGTGGTGTGCGGCACTTGCACTTGCGAAGCCGCCGGTAGTCAGCCGACTCTCGCACCATCACGGTCACTGTATCTCTGCAGCGCGCCGTCTATCATCAATTGCTTGCAGTATTTGGACGCATGCTGCAAGTGATGCGCCATCCTCTCCCGCAAATGAAATTCTGTTACACATGCCGGGCAGCACGTGCCTATGACATGCTGCCTGCCGCACGTGGCCGTGGCAGCGGTGCATGTGCACCGCTAACTCTTTCTGCGCATCTAGGATGCGACACGCATCACGTGGGCACAGGGGACACTGGATCCCGGGCGGCACGTCGTCTCCAGAAGCCGCCAGATCACAAACCACAATGCCTGCAGCCAGAAGGGTACTATGGCTGCACCACGTTTGCCTCACAAATTCTTTCCACCTCTCCGTGTGGTAAAGCATTGATGCTTGCCAGCTGCGCTACCGCGCCTCGGGTTGACCCAACAGGGGGTCCAGCGACAAGGGGGTGTTGCAATAGATTTGGTGCAATAGATTTGTGGGGTTGCAATACTTTTGGGGCGTGCAATACATTTCGGGGCGCACATGTATTGCTGTATTTTCGCGTGCAATACATTACTTGCAATACAATGCAATACAATTCTCCGGCGCAATACATTTGCAATACAATTGCCCCAAATCTATTGCACCACCCCCTTTCAGCTGGACCCCCTTTTGGGTCACCCAAAAGCGCACAGGGTGGTCCAAGGCCTCCCAGTCCAGGCTGCGCGCCTGCGAGCTACTCCAGGTCGTTAACAGCAAGGGCCGCACACGGCAACGCGTGCTTCCCCGCCGGTGGGAGCAATGCCAAGAGCCTCGGGGACGGGGGGCAGGCCAGCTGAAACAGATATGTCAAGCGTCGCTGCCTGACCAGCGTCTCCATGCTGCTTACGCCGAGGATCTCGCGGACCTGCTTGTCCGTGAGGTTGTGCTCGCCTGGGCCACAGCCGTAACGTGGGAAATTGCCGATGTGCCGCGAAGCCTTCATCGTGAATTGTTCCAGGAGGCGCAGAGCTGCACATAGGCCGTTGTGTACCGTTCGGTGCTGCGGTGGTGCCCACGCTTCCGCACCTGACAACAACAACGACAGGATCAGGCTCCGAAACATGCGGATGCGGGCATCTTGCGAGATAGCCCATGCACAGAACAACTTCTTGGCGAGTGGGTACCATGCCCTCTGCGCCGCGGCCACTCGCGCCTCGGCGGCGGGCAATAGGCTCCCGCTGCCGGCAACCATCACACCGACATGCTTGTACTGAGGGACGACAAGCGCCTTGATCATTCGGTCGGGCGTTGGCGGGGAAGGCGCTGAGACGGTCGTCCGCCTGCAGCAGCGCTCGGGCACCCTGCGAACTGGCTCCTCGAAAGGCAAGATAGCTTCTCTCTTGCCTGGGCTCCAGTTGATCTCTAACCCATCTTTCTCGAATTCCTCAGTGGTGATCGGGAGCGCCAGGTGCACGCTCTGCCACAAGTGCACAGGCGACGTGCCGAAGAAAAAAAACGAACACGTCATCGTCCACGTGCGTGGCGTCGAGGACATTGCACTGCTGACCCTCACTCTCGTAGGCGTCGGCCGGAACCTCGTGTGCGCTCCAACCGTGCACGGCCTCCGCGGGCTCGGAGACCTCGTGCTGCCACGGCACTGCATCTGGGAAAAATGGGCAATGCCAAAGTGTTCTCGTCAGCCTCCAGACGAGCTCGAATCCGTTTGTTGGTGTCACCGTAGCGCAAGTTGAAAAGCAAAGCACCAAACCGGCATCCCTGTCGAGTGCCCGACTTGGTCTCTATGCGCCTGGTGTTGCCGTCCAGCTGAAACCACGTAGCCTCGTGAAGACTTTCGAGAAGCTTGGCCACCCCCCGCCAGCCGCCACGATGTCACCGCCGGTGCGCTCGACGTAGTTTGCGATGTGCTCCGCCGCGTGCGATGCTAGTCCCAGCTGTTGCAGGTGTTGCACCCTGTCTGCGTGGTCGATGCCGTCCATGCCGAAAATCGCCTCCCTCACCACCTTGTCGAAAGCTTTGGTGAGGTCTACGAACAAGAGGACGGTGGGTAGACCCCTCGCAGCTGCGTGCGCAAGGGCTGTCTACGAGAGGTGTGCTGCGCGGGCAGTGCCCTTGCCGGGCACGCAGCCGTGCTGCTCGCATGGGAGCGCTTTGAAGACATGTTCATCAACGTGCGGCATGAGTATTCCAGTGAACAGCTTGCCGCTACGCGGGCCACCCATAAGGCCTCGCCACTAGCCGCACTCGGCGGCATCCCCTTTCTGTTTCCATAGCCGCACCAGGCGCCCGCCTCGCCAAGCACGAGGAACTTGCTGGGTGAAGAGAACCCGCTCAAAGAGGCACAGCAGGGCCCTGGCAATGGGCTCGCCCCCTGCACGCAGGAGCTCGGCTGTGATGTGATCTGGGCCGGCGGCCTTCTTGCTCGGTAGCGCCTTCAGCGCCGCTCGAACTTCTTCCAATGAGAGGTGGAACGCCGGCTGTTCGGGACGCGGGGCCATGGGCAACGGGGGCGGCTCCTCCGCAATAGTGCCCACCAGCAGCTCCGCGAAATGTTCTTTCCAGCGCTGAGGAGATCGCTCGTCCGTCTCTGCGAAAGTGCCGTCTTTTTCCCTGACCATGGGGATGGTCCGCGCTCGGTATGGCCCGAGCCGCCGCGCGATCTTGTAGAGCGAATCCGAGTCGCCGTCTTCCGCGGCAGCATCAGCTGCAGCTGCCAGCCGCTCATATTGTGAAGCACAGTCTGCTCGTAGACTGGCACTCTGCTGCCGGGTGTGGCGGCGCAGGCATAGCCTCGCAGTCGCTTCCGCCACAGGTTCCCAGCGGCGTCGAGCAACCTGCTGCTCCAGGCACCGCGCCGCGCGCCAATCTTCGAAGAGGACCGCCGCCCAGGCTCTCCAGAGCCGCTGGGCTGCTTCTCGGAGGTGGCGCGCGAGAGCACACCCTTGCCGGACGAAATTCCACGACCGCTCCGTAATCCATGTGTGTCGCGGACGCAAGCATGGCGTCGCGGCTAATTCTGCCGCCTCCGCCGCGTCGAGGAGCGTCTCGTTGAAGTTCGCAAGCCGCGTGTCCACGTCAATGGCGTCCGCACCGGCATCGAACACACAGAAGAGCTGCTGCAAGCGCTCGCATTTCTCCTCGTCGGCGAGGGCGCGCGCGTCCCATCTAGGCGCACACGGTAGCTTTGGCGGCCTTTGGACAACCGCTTCACTGCGAGTAGCTGCAACTGGTCACTGGTCCTTCTCGACGCCGTACCTCATGTCGAAGTCCCCGCGGACAGTGCACTCGACCACCGAAGCGAAAAGGTCCGCAGCGACCAACACGTAGTCAAGTCGTGCTCTCCTCCCAAACCTGGTGAACGTGGGCTGCAGGCAATCGAGGAACGTGTTCAGTGCCAGCATGCCCGTTCGCATTAATTAGGAGCTCCCGCAACCTCTCGCTATTTGGCGTTTTGTGGGTAGGCTGGTATTTCCCGATGCCTAGACCAGGTTGGGAACCGATCTGAAGATTGAGGTCGCTGAGGACAACGACCTGCACACCTTTTGGGAAGGAGGTGATCGCTGTCTCCAGTTCCTCCCAAGAAGTGTCCGCCTCCTCCAGCGCAGCCATCTCATGCGGCGCATGCGCCACGACGATGCCGAGGGAAGTCTTGTCGTCGCTGTCGTTCCCCTTCATCCGCATGCGAGCCTTGAGCAGCCTCGGACCGAGCGGCATGACAGCCGAGACGGCGTGGCGCAGCCGGTGCGGCACCCGCAACTGCACCCCGAGTCCGTGCATGTTGGTGGCCGGGGTTGTGCAGATGGCGTAGGCGTCAGTGTCCAGGAGTTGGGCACCAGGGAGCCAGCTTTCCTGAACTCCAATAACATTGAAGCCACTGTTCGCGAAAAGATCGCTCAAGACAGCCATGCGGCCTCCCTGGTCCAGGCCAGCCTTCGAAGCTACCAGGACGTCCTTGGGGCACGGTGGTGCAGACGTTCGCCGTGACAAAGGTGGTGCCTGACTGCCGTGCGGCCGACAAACTGGTATTCTGCAGCACCTCCCCTGCAGACGCGCTCCACCCTGCCATCGTATACTGGTATGGGCTCGAGATCGTTCGGCGCGCCGCCTGTCAGCGTCGATATGTCGCCAAACTCGTCGTCGTCGGATATTCTGCGTCTGCTCTCCCCAAGCAGCGACCCTTTGTGACCCACCTGCGGGGTCTCCACGTATGCCTTGTCAGTTGTCCGCCTGCGCGCAGCTGCTGCGCCAGACGTCGAAGCAGAGGACAGCTTGCCCTTGCCGATCCTCCCTGCATCGATGCCCACTGCCACTGCTGGGTCGGTCGCGCCTTCCCCCTGGCTGTCGCTGGCGAGGGGGGCGCCGATGCGAAAACTCGGCTCTGGCGCGTCTAGTAGCACCAACGCCTCCAGAGCCTCGGCGAGAGCGTTGGGATCGAAGGCGGTACCTGCAAGTTCGCTGCGTAGTTCCGCAACGTGGCGGCACTGCCTGCGACCAGTCCCAGAGCTGGGAATTCGGGGGGGGGGACTCGTCCTCCAGCTCCTTCAGCTCCTGCTTGTGCTTCTCCACGATCAGCTTCAGGCGGTTGTACTCGTCGACCGCCTGCTTCGCCGCGACCGTCGCCTCCTGCTGGCGCCTGGCGTCTCTCGCAATGACGGCATTCAGCTCCTCGACCTGCTTGTGCTTCGGCTTGGCCTGGTAAAGTTTCTGCTTCAAGGCTTCCTCTTGCTCCTCCAGCGCCTTCTTCAGCGGGTTGGCAGCGTGCAGCGCCTGCATGGCATTCTGGACCGAGTCAAGCTCCTGCTTGATCGTCTGCCGATGCCCCTCGACGTATGTGTCCTCTTCCTCCTTGTCCGACTTTCCAGGGGATGGGGGAAAATATCCCAGACGGAGCCGGCTGGCGTTGAGGGGTAGCTGGCGGCCGTATTGACGCTGCCGTCGACGGGGGAGCGACGTTGCCCGCCCTGGATTATGCCAGGGGCATGTTCCTCCACACGCTCCTGAGCATCAGGTCGTTGTACAGGGATTCCATGGTTGCCGGCGGCACCGCGGCCGTGTCCGCTTTGGCCCACCACGCTGAGCCACATTGGTGGCACACTTGGTGGTTCATCCAATTGGTCGCCTTGCAACGAGCACGCCCACGTCTTCGGCTTCCTCGAGTTGGCATTGTTTCGCCCCATCGTGACAAGAAGACTTCACAAGGCAGAGACTGTGACTGATATGTAGGTGTAGAACGAATAGCTTATCAAAATGAATGAACTGGTAGGCTTGAGCCAAAGTGGCTTGAGCCAAAAGGAGGAGGAAGACGACGACAAGGACGAGGAGGATTAGGAGGAGGAGGAGGAGGAGGAGGAGGGAGGAGGGGTAATGAAGGAGGAGGAGGAGGCGGAGGAGGAGAATGAGCAGGAGGAGGAGGAGAAGGAGGAGGAGCGGGAGCAGGGGGTGGAGGACGCACTGGGGAGTGCCGAAGTTTAGGCGGATGAGGAAACATCAGAAGGATGATGCAGCGGGGATTCGTCGGTGAGACGAGCGACCAGCTAGCAAACCCGACAGCCCTCGCGGGCCGAGTGGCGGTACCCCAGGGAGCGCATGCTGGAGTTGGGCCGGAGCTTGCACGAGGCGGCTTCCCCACCTTGATGTCATCTCAGTCGTTGTCTCCGCTCGCAATCCCTCGAGCGCATCCTCCTGGACCCTGCGTACTGCTTCTCGTTTCCGCTCGTCTTTATTGGAGCTTCTTCTCCCCGTCCCTCTCCTCCCACCTCCTTCCCTCGACCTTCTCCCTCTGCCTCGTCCTCCATCTCCTCGTCTCTACCTCCTCCTCATGTTTTCTCTTCCTTGTGATTATCATCTCCGCTCGCGCCCCCCCCCCGTCCGAGCACGCAATGAGTACGGTCAGAGCCAACTTGGACGACGGTACCCGTCTTGACGCATCTGAGGATTGAGTGGCCATATCGAGCGGCTCGCCTTTGAGTTACGTCTAATTGCAGCCTGTAGCCAGCCCTGTTTTCACTGCATGCACCAGGCGGGTGTCGGCGACGGGAGCATTATCTCTTAAGCCTTTTCGGTTCCCTTGCTTGTGGTTTTGCCTGCGCTCGCGCATGTACTCTTGATGAAATAATGCTATAATGTAGCAGCTTTTGGGTACTTACTCTTGCTCTCCTTTCGAATTTGTTCAGTCTTCGAGCAGTCCGTGGCTTCGTTGGGGACGGGCACTTCTTTAAGGGGGGCGTTTGGGCCCCATTCCGAATATAGACTGTCAGAAGGGTTGCAGCCCTGGTAGTTGATCATTGCCTCGGTGTTCTTGAGTGGTTTTGAGCAGCGCGATGCTGACAGTGTCGCTTTAGCCGTCCTGTGACATTTTTGCGCGGGTGCGTTATCTTTTCTTGTTGTTCGTGTGTGCGTGTGTTTGTGTGTGTTTGTGTGTGAGTGTGTGTATGTGTGTGCGTGCGGACTGCTGTGTAAGGTAAGACCGCGGCACTAAGCGTCATATGAACGGTTCTGTCGCAGGATCCCCACATAGATAAACCGTTTTCAGATGAAGTTTCGGACGATACGGACGAGAGTTGCCCCAAGAGGATCCGCTCTGCCTCTCCTCCCCAGGAGCCCGCAAACGAATGATCCGCTCAGCACCTTACAAGCATGCGATCTTAGCTTGTAGCTCGCGAAGTTTGGAAGTTCGGTTCGGGCCTAGAAGGGGGGATCTGGGATTGGACTGGATTTGATTGCGTTTCGCTCGATCTCAAACCAGGGCCCCCTGATCGAAAGGTCGAGGGCCTGATCTTCCTGAGTTGAGTTTTTGATCGATTGCCTGCGTGGCCTGTTCCGATATCAACGAACAGTTTTTCCTCGTCTGTCCTCCTCCCTGCCCCCTTTTCGTTCCGCCCTCCGACGCGCTGCCCCGTGCGATGTAGAAAGAGGTTGCGCAGTTGCTGTAGACTGCAGAATGGTTCACTTGAGCCATGACCGGCTTGTGCGGGACGGGACAGCGCTGCCGTTATAGACTCTTGGGGGCCCCATGTGGTCTTGCGGGGGCCTCTTGAAAGCCTCCGGATGCAGGCTTGCCGTCGGGAGGGGGGGGGGGGGGGGGGGGCAAATTGTGTAGTGCAGAATTCTCCCACAGACCGGCCCCTCTCCCAATTGTGCGAATTAGTATCCCGCATGTCTATCCCAGGCAGTTCACTGCATGAGTTTGCCTATTGCAAATCGGCTTGTGCGGAATTCTGGGTTTGCGTGGCGACTGGCTCCCACTGTGGTTTTACGTCGCGGAGGTGTCGAACCTTGTTGGTCGCGCTCCCTCCTCCCCCTCCTCCAGAAGCAGTGTATAGTATGCATGTTTCTGCAAGCCCTGGGTGCCGTACTCAGGAGGGCAAGAAATACACAGACACAACGAATCGTCGGCTCCCAGGAAACATGGGAAGTATGGGAAGTGGAGGGGAAGACGAAAGTCCAGATCATATGGAGAACCTTGTGATTTGTTGTGTATATTCATTTGTGTGCCCCTGGGCGCCTTCATATACTCGTGTGCGCACGCCCGCGCCGCGTGGCTGCCACCCTCCCGCCCGCGCCGCGCCGCGGGAGTGCGAGGGGACGCGATGGGGCGAAGGGAGGAGGAGGAGGAGGAGGATGCCACCGCTCCACTCCTGGAGAGACCGCGCCCCGGCGCGCGTGGGAGCGCCCGTCTGTCCGTCCGCACCTCGGCGCGGCGCTCGAGTCGGCCCAACTCTCGACTAGAAGATCGACTACAGAGGTGCCGTATCCCACAATTGTTTTTCGCCGAATCGATAAAGGGTTTCACCAGGATTGTAAATCGACGAATATGCCATGTACTTTCTGTAGATTAATTCTGGGATCAATCAATGATGTAGTCGATCTTCTGTTCGGATCTCATGAGCTGACAACTGGCACCCATGCCCATACGACCCCCCGCATTCCCAGAGTGGAATTCCACAGGGGGGGAGCTATGGGTGTGTTATGTCGGCTGGAGGTTCCCCGCTCGAGTGGGAGCCCCCCTCGGGGTCCGAGAACCCGCACCCATACCTCTAACGCGCCCTCCAGTCGCGAAGCGTGGGCCAGAACCCCCTACAGCCTACAGGCATGAGGGCATGTTGTCCGTTCATCCGCCTCCTCCTCTTCCCATTTCTCCTCCTCTTCGCATACGCACACTGTAGAGATGGGTCACGGACAGTGGGGGGGAAGAGTGGGACTTGAATCCAAAGTACTGTGTGATATCATCGGGGCAAATGCGCACTACACTTCAGTCTCCATCGATCACCCTCGGCTCCCACAACTCGTCTGGCTCAACGACGGTCCAGGTGCGCAAGCGTTGCGCACTAGCGGCTGCAGCAAGGGGCTCGGGTAGGACAAGATGATCGAGAGCCACAGGGAGCACACCAAGAACGAGCCAGGACAGGACAAGTATCAAGGAGGCAAAGGAAGTCAATGGAAGAGGGTGTGCGTAGACTGCGAGCTGGAGCTCAGGCAGGAGGAGTGGATCGAGTGGAGCGACGAGGAGAATGTACGACATGGAGGTGGCCAATACATTGCGAGGGAACAAGTACGCCGAGAACAAAAGAGGAAAACTACAGGAGCTGCGTGGGCAGCCCAGTCCATGGGGCAGATCAAGGCGGCGAAGGCGATCATTGAAGCCGAGGAAGGACTTAAGAGAAAGTCTCACAATCAGAGGAGCAATCTGGTCATTGATATGTGCAAGGAGATGTCAATTGTATTGATGAAGGGCGTCCAAATGAACGGGGGGCACATTCGCAGCCGTCAGCAAAGCAGGAGAGGACATGGCATAGACCTTATGTGCAGAAGAATCAGACATCCTGCTGAGCATGCACATGGCCCTGGACGTGAAGGACGAAGAAGCGCCGAATGCAACCAAGAAGGAATTGGAAGACACATAGAAGGAGCTGTGCGAGATGGGCGACTACACGACGGCAAAGAACAAGGGGGAGAAACAGACAAAGTACTTCAAGGCGCTGGGCTTCGTGGACAAATTGAGCGATAACATGCAGCTGTTCAACGTGCGCAGGAGGAGCGCAGGATGGGACGCAGAGAAGGCCATCGCCTGCTCGCGCGGACTTGCCTCCCCGAACAAGCTTCCGCGGAAAGGCCCCGGCCCCAACTCGATGGGGGGGCTGGTGGGAGTTTTCGCGCGAGGTGGGCTGGATGCAGCCGGCGATGGCGCAGGAGAACCACCCAGAAGACGCGCTCATGAAAGGGTGGGTGGATAGGATGACAGATGACTTCGGCAAGGACTGCGAGAAGTGGCCCAGCATCGGGTGCAAGGCGAAATTCCGCCCGCGCAGGAGATGGACTTCAATGGCGGTGGAGCTCAAGGTAGGAGAAGTGTGGGAAGCGCTCGCAGCGGACAGACTGCCGCGAAAGCTAGACGACGCCATCGAGGAGAGCCACTGCAAATTCTACGCCGCCGCCCAGAAGATGAGCCCAGAGGAACTGCTCGAGCCGATCCCCATGTCTCAAGCAGTGGCGAAGCGTCCCGGCGCACCTATAGCCATGCCAAACAATGTTCTAAGAACCTGTTGTGGGTTTCCACGGAATGTTCTTAGACAATTTCTTGCATTTTTGGGTTCTAAGAAGATTTCGTGGTAGGGCTATAGGAATGCCGGGACGGTCGGTCCCTGCTCAAATGTCCTCCCCGATGACGCGCCAGGCCGAGGGCCGCGCGCCAATCGCGAAGCGCCCGGTGGGCGCGTGGGAAAGGGCAAGGACGAGGGCCTCCACTGCGCAGAGTTGGTGCGAGCTGGCGCTGAAGATTTCGAAGAACGACGAACGACGAGGGGGGCCTCTGCGGCGTCGTGAAGGTTGCCTCGGAGGAGGTGAAGAACGAGGATAGACTCGGCCCAGCGGAGGTAAGGGTGCTCAAAGCGCCAGCAGCTCCGAGATAGCGCGAAGACCCTGTTGGATGGCACCGAGATCTTCGAGAAGTACGCCAAGTCGGAGGAGGCGGTCAGCTCCGGCGGCCGCGAGGGAGAGGGCCCACTTGCAACGCCAAGAGGTGCGTTCGCGAGGATCTCGGAGTGCGACTCTAGGCAGGCAGGGCGGGCAGACTCAGCGGGGCCATCGCTGGCGGGGACACCTCGGCGCGAGGGCCTTCGAGAAAGTGCTCGCGTAGACGACGTTGTGGAAAGTGTTTTTTGGAACGCCGACAGGCGCGCTATTGCAGGGGGCGAGGATGGACCGAATGAGATGATTTCGAAGGCCACCAGAAGGCATCCTCGAGGGCCCCACTGACAGCGAAACAGGAGGACTGGAGGAAGAAATGTAAACCAACCTCCAACATGCCGTGACTATCAGCATGCTCTCCACTACTTGCACGCGAGGGGTCGCTGTGGGATGCTGCGCGGGGCAACCATCGGCCAGCGCGCTTTGGAAGAGAAGTGCGCCGAGCGAGAAAGGAAAGATAATGGGGTAGAAATGAAACCAGTTGGTAGTGCAAACGGGCCACCCGGCAAAAGTTTGGAAAGCATGGGCCCCCCGATTCCCCCTTCTTCTCCTCTCGAATGGTCGCGTCGCCGTCTCTCCCGCTTCGCTTGGGGGCCGTGTTCGCCCAGCGCGCCCCCGGTATCATGGGCGCGCGAGAGGGCCGACAGCTGCT